GGTGGCGACATCACGCTCCCCCACTGCGCAGGCGCAACAAACCCTGCCGGCCTCACAAGGGCTTTTGTGCCAAAGCACCTGCGTTGCTATGGTTTTCTTTGTTTTATTTCTGATGGGCCCGCTTTGACCTTGAGTGCACCGGCGAGCGTCCGTAATGAGACAAACTAAGGGAATACACTGCAGACAAACTAAGGGAGCAGCAGAACGACATCATGCTTTTGCATTCACAACTCATAAGAAGTGAGTTGAGTGGACACCTAACTGGAGTGAGGTGTCCTCGGAATTTTCTCTCTTCTTTGCAGCCGCCGCCATCTGGATCCTTCCGTTTTTCACCCTGCAGTTTCGTGATAGTGAAAAACCGTACGCTGGTTGGGGTGTACAGCGCCAGTGAATGCACAAAAATGGTCACGTGATTTTTTTGTGCCTTGTAGCCTAATACAGTCGAACCTCGATATAACGAACTTCAATGTAACGAAATCCTCGATTTAACGAAGTATTTTATTTTTCATAATTTCTTGCCCATAGACCCCATGTATTTTTAGCCCCTATATAACGAAGTCTATTTTGCTGCTATTTCAATATAACGAAGCGCCATTGCCATAGAAGGCAATAAATAAATCAACTCTAAAAAACAACTTCGCAAAAAAATTGTGGTTAAAAAAAAAAATTATGCGCAAACGCGAGCGCTTGATAGGTTACTTCACGGGGACAGGCCTTCCAACGTTCCTAGGCTGCCCGAGGATGCGGCGCCGGTAGCGCCGGCGAGGCATGCGGCAAAGCGGATTCCGCGAGGCTGGCCAGAAAATGCCGAGCAAAAAGTTAACACGGCATAACAGCATCACCACTGACATTCACTGATCATCATAGTCCACTGTACCGCGGGTAGCGCGGGAGCCAACTTCAGCGGGGGAGCGACGTGATGGCGCGACCGCGCGATCCGCGCGACGGCACGGGCAGTGCCATCTAGGAGAAGACCGAAAAGACCGATTAAAAGCAAAGGCGCAAGCACACTGTGGGCGCAAGGGGGCAAGTAAACTGTGCGGTCAAGAGTGCTGTGTAGGTTGGAAACATTGGCACCGCCTAAACGCCTAAACTAAACAGCTTTATTTTTTAACCGGGTGGTTCACTTACGTGCTTGCTGCCATAAGGAAACGTAAAGTTCTTTCTTTGGATGAGAAAGCAAACGTTTTGGACGCCATCCTGAAGAAACTGCCGAGATCACGAGCACTCGGGAAGTGCTCGACGCAATGGACGTACTGAGGAGATACACGGCGTCGCATGGGCAGCAAGATGCCGTGCAAGCGCTCTGGGCGCTCGAACGCCGTATGACGCCGCCGACTCCGCTGCTACTGTCGGACAAGGCGCAAGCAAAACTCGCGGACTACTTTGCCCCTAAATAAATGTCATTTTCGGTGAGTTTTCATACCCGTAAAATGTTTCGGAATTTTCTTTTTTCGCATCTAAAGCCAAATTTCGATTTAGCGAAATTTCGATGTAACGAAGTAAATTGCGAATTTTACCGACTTCGTTACATCGAGGTTCAACTGTATAAGGTTAGATAACCAACAAGATATCTGTTGAATATTAACCATGTTGAATTAACCTGAGACTGGAGTAGAGAAGAAACATAAAAATGTAGAAGGGACAGAAAATAGACGTCTCAAAACTCACCCTCTCCACATCATGTCCCTTCTACGTTTTGATGTATCTTTTCTACCCCAGTCTCAGGTTAATTCAACATGGTTAAGATATCTGTGATTATTTGTCTGATACTGGAGTGAGGAATGCATTTGTATTATTTGAAGCCCGCTTAGATGAAATAAAGGCAAATCTCTAATCTGCTGATTTTTCTGACAACTCTGTTATTCTGACGCTTTTTTCGGTCCCTGCGAAGTCTGAAAAATTGGTCGCCGACTGTGTACAAAATATGCCATATTTCAATAGTGAGACAAACTGAAAATTGCAGTGTTCTAGTTAAAAAAGAACTCACCAAATTTTCCTACATAATTTCAACCATTGTGATGTACATCCCATTCAGTGAAGCAGTTTGTGGGTGTGGTAAAACATGGTTAAATGCAGCAGGTACTGCAGAAAACATTTGCCTTGTGCTTAATTTCGCATTCTTCGTAACACATTTTGCAGCTCCACTCCTTTATTTTTGGGGGGAGGCTCAAGATGCAGTTGTTCAGTATGTATAGTGCTCATCACTTGTACAATGGGCCGGTCTTTCCATTGAAGATATTATACATCTTGATCCCATAGCCAACGGACATCGCCTCTTTTTGTCTTCTTTTTCCATCTGAAATCCTTCGACTCAGTTCAAAATCTCCCACAAACTTGTGTAAACGCCATATTCCCCACGCGGAGTGCTATCTCCTCCTCTCCTTGGCAGCAGCATTTGTAAATGGTACAACGCCATCTCGTAGGAAAAAAAAAACTATATAGAAACTCAAAGTAGAGTATGTAATCCAACTACAAGATGCATTGACAACAAGCACAAATTGCCCAGACCTGCACAAAAGACCAGCAAAGAACGTGAAAAACAAAACATGCCTTACCAACGCGCAGTCGTCAATCTCCCCCAGGCCCACATTGATGAATCGTCGCTGTCAGAACTAAAATGTGCTGGTCTGACATCATCTTCCTACTCGCTCGTGCTAGTGTTATTAGCAGAATGGACAGCAGATGCGCTCGAATCACAAGACTTCAAACACTTTTGAGGAGGCACGCTGCGCGAAGTGCGCTCTTTCTCAACTGTGCATTTGGTTATGATAAATCGCCATCTTGTGGGAAAAATAAAAGCTATGCAGAAACTTAAACCAGAGTGCCTAATCTAACCACCAGATGCTTTGTAAACAAGCACAAAAACTCCGGACTTTCACACGAGACCAGCAAAGAACATGAAAACCAAGACCGAAACCAGAACAGCCTCCTCACTGACGTGCAGTTTTTGATGTTCCTGAATTATTTGACAAAAAATTGCTGTCGGAAATAAATTCTTATGATGCGACATCATTTGTGCTAGTGTCGGCAACAAAGTCGACCGCAGATGCTCTTCCTTGGCTGCGCGTTTGGTTCTAAAAAAATTGTTATCTCGTGGGGGACAAAAAAAGAAGCTACCGTATTTACTCGCAGAATGAACACACTTTTTTTTCCGAAAAATCGATGCAAAGTTGGGGGGGGGGGGGGGCGTTCATTACGCGAGGTAAAATTTTTGAGTCCGTATTTGCTCGCAAATTGAACGGACCGGTTATCCTGAAAAATCGAAGTAACTCTTATCCCTTTCCGCGCGGCGCCCCACCCTGTAACCAAACTAACCTGTGCAAAAAAAAAAAAAAAAAATCTTTTTTTATTGTTTTTTTTCTTCTTTTTTTGCTGTCTTTCGCAAGCTGTTTTATTTGCTGAGGCTTTGCTTAGGCGAGGGCTCTCCGCTTATCTCCTTGCGCGCGACGCTTGACCCCCCCCCCCCCCTCCCACCGTAACTAAACTGCGCTGTGCAAAAAAAGAAAAAAAAAAGCTCGTCTTTTTCTTCTGTTTTTTTCTCAGTTCCATGTGTTTTTTTTTTTTTTTTGCCGCCTTTTGCAAGCTGTTTAGTTTGCTTAGAGCGCTTCTCCGCTTCTCTTTCTTACCTCCTTGCGCGCGGCGGGCGACCCCCCGTAACCAAACTGCGCCGTGCAAAAAGTAAAAAAATTTTTTTTTTTTTTTTTTAGTTTTGTGGTTTTTTTTTTTACTTTTTGCCGCCTTTCGCAAGCTGTTTCGTTCGCTTAGAGCGCTTCTCCGCTTCTCTTTTTACCTCCTTGCGCGCGGCGGCGGGAGAACCCAAAATCCAAACTGCGCTGTTCAAAAAAAAAAAAAAAAAAAAAAGCTGCTTTTATTGTTGGATTTTTGCGAATTTTTTTAACGCCTTTTGCAAGGCGTTTTGTTCGCCCTCGCAGCCCATGCATTCGCGACCTCGCTGCACCAAGATAGAAAAGTGCGTTCATTTCGCGCGCGTAGGGGAGGGGGTCAAAATTTTGACGTCCCGGTTGGGGGTGCGTTTATTACGAGAGTGAAAAAAAAAGTCGAAATTTTGAGAGCCGACTTGGGGGGTCCGTTCATTACACGAGTGTGTTCGTTGTGCTAGTAAATACGGTATATGTGGAAACTTAAATTAGTGTGTCTATTCTAACCACCAGATGCTGTAAATGGTCCAGAAATACATCAGAGGCTTTGCAGCATGGCTTGCAAATCGTTGATCATGTGTGATGGCTTTAGCTAGGCATAGTACAAAAACAGGTAACACTGGGCCTGGACCCAGTGTTATCTGGGCCCTTGGCTCTCAATATAAAGATATTGTCATGAATGACAATGGATGAGTTGATGATAACTGAAGAAGCTAAACGTTTAATGGGGCAAACTTGTGCCAAAAACAAAAGTAAACAAAAGATAACAGTAGAGCGTCACAGGCGTCGATGGCGGCGTAACAGCAGGATCGTACGCTGGGGCGATACTGACTCCACCTTGCCACGCGGAGCCCCTTTCGTACATGCATGGGCTCCTGGAACATTCGGCGTAGAAGGTTCGGTGCATAGACCATTCTAACCTTGAATCAGCAAGACTGTTCTCGAACTACAGCATCAACAAAAATGTGTAGACGCAACCAGGAATTGAACCCTGGGCCTCTGCGTGGAAGGCAAGCGCGATAACCGTTGGGCCACTTGCACGCTGCCTACTTGGTCAGCTGCACTCATGGCAATATGTATTCCCTGAGATGAAAAACTTTGAGAACTCCTGCCATAATGTTTGCAGGAGTTCCTTAGTACTTTGGCACACTTCAGTTCAATGGATTACACACAGTGTACTAATTTTTTTTTTTCATTGCAGCACCACTTGTTTTTTAGTGGGGATGCTAATTTTTTAGGTGTTCAAGTTGGAAAGAATATATAAGTGCATTCACGTTTGAGGGTACCACACAGAATCACCGTAGGTCGGAAGTTATTGAATCCTGTGTCCTTTTGCAGATATTTCGCCACGTGGATGAAATCTTCCCAATGTTGCTCCAGACCTTGTCCGACCCTTCAGACGAGGTGAGCAGTTTCAGTTGGGCATACAACACGCACACACCTGACGGCTCGTTGGCTCTTTGAGAGGACTGCACAAATTAGTTTCTTAACGTATTGTGTCATTATTTACTACAGAGGGGCTCATCCAAGCCGCTTCGCTGGCTTAGATGAGTGCACGGTGTAAGACGCATAAAGATGTGGACACCGCGCGCATCGTAGCTACGACATAAAGTCCTCTCCTCGTCTTGGCTGCAAACAGCGCCACCAGATGGCTTTTTGATAAGTGGCTGGGCCCAGTTTTTCATGCTTCTCTATGGGAGACACTACTTGTCTTTAAATATCAGCCCGTTCAGACCTCTACCTCGGACTACAGAACGAGAGGTCCAGGCATCAATTCCTGGTGAGGGACAAAGCATTTTTTGGGCGTAGAGGGAACCTGTGTGACACTTTTTTGTAATGTCCTAGAGCAGGGGTTCTCAAACTGGGTTCCGGGGAACACAGGAGTTCCACGAGCTGGTCTCATGGGTTCCGCGAGCACCCAAATTGCAACCCCCCCCCCCCCTGCCGCAGGCTGCACGGCAGGACCATGCAAAGCGCCTTCATCTCACTTTGTACTGCCATCGTGATTGATATGGTGGGGATATATCGAAAGCAACACAAGCAAAATTGCCTACAATTGTGCATCTGTTGCTTCTCGGTCGGCAATTATGGAAGGGGGGGGGGGGGAGGGGGGGGAGGGTTCCGCGGCAGTTTTTGAGGCTTCCTGGGGTTCTGCGAGACCAAAAAGTTTGAGAACCCCTGTCCTAGAGGATTAAAGCAGCCCATAAACAAATTTTGCATTAAAGAAAAAGGTAGTACAGGGGGCCTAACAAGAAATAGCTGCTTATTGAAGGAAGCATATATGTTTTCTTTTGTTCACGAGGTTCTGGGACCCGCGTCTCTGTCCAATCTTATCTTTTCTTTTCACAGTGACTGTTGTCAGCCTGCAAATGTTCGGAGGTAGGCATTGCTTCATATTGTTTTATGTATGCAGTCCTCAAGTCAAGAAAACGTTAGAATGGAATTCCGTATTCACAGCCTTGTTGAAAAGTAAAACAACTCGGGTAGCTTGCAGAAGCATGCAAAACTAGGCAAATTAGTACTTATTCATTATAAAACGGAGCATACATAAAACGGGCCAAGAAAGGCCCATACAAATTGTTTACGAAATGTAAAAGCAAACATTAATTTTTGCATGAGCACTCGTCTGTTACAGGTGTCTTCCTTCGGTCCTGTGTTTTGTGCACTTTGTTTCATAATTAGTCAGGTAGTCTGCATCGTTCTTGTGGTGAAGCATAGTGAAGCAATCGGAAAACACGATGTCAATACGAAACATTTGGGAACAGGTGGTGCTGCTCGACTTAGAAGTGCTGGCTGAGATTTCGTCCTCGACGGCCGGCTGCAAGTCCGGCGAGGGGGCTGTAAACGCGGGCGACGTCGGCGCGGGTGCGGCGGCCGTCGCAATGACGGCGAGCGGCATGAACAGCTACTTCGGCCGGTTTATGCTGTCACTGCTGGAGATGTTCAGCTCGGATGGGCAGCTTCTGGAGGACCGGGGCTCCTTCATCATCAGGTGAGTGTTCGCAGCACGGGCTCGGAACTAGCTGCAATTTACCTTCTGTCCAGAACGAACGTCAGGATTGGGAACAAAGCACTATTATGTAAGTTCGGCTTGCATTCAACCCGGTTAGGATAGTGGCTCTTGGCAGACGGTAAATGGAAGCCAAGTTTGCACTTGTGCACTGGACGACAACGAAGAGAATGGCGTTTCGTAAATGTCGCATATAGAATGGTGAACGAAATTTAACATGTGGCTTGTCTTCGTCAGCTTAGTCCAGTAATCGCTCGCTATAACGAAATTGCTTTTTTTTAATTATCGCTTCGATAGAAGTTTAACGTGTTTGCGACCAAAATACATGCATTTGCAACCGGATGATTAGAAGTGTATCTGCGGTTGACCAAGCTTATTAGGAAGGCAGAGGTGCAGAGAGCTTGTAAACCTACGCAGAGGCTCGCGAAGACCCTCGCGTTCCGTTCTTCTTCTCCACCGAGGTAAAGTGAACTAGAGGAGGGGTAGTGAGCTCAGCGAGCGCTGGCGGCTGCTGCACTTCGTGTTGACAGCTCGAGAGGGCGCCGCGAATGCATGGGCTGAATGAAGGAAGTGGCCAGGGTGGCTCGCATTGCATTTGCTGCGCGACTAAGTACTACTTTTTGTTGAAGCTTTTTGGCTCGTACTGTTTGCTGTTTTAGGTCCGAACCCCATGAAGGAAATACGCGAGGCATATTTGATGCAATTCGTCTGGCCGTGTTCGCTTTGCGCAGGGTACGAAGCAGAAATGCACGACATGGAAGGCAAAAACCGCCAGACCAATTTCCTGGGCGGCGTTTCGAGACTCAAGTGTTTTTGCACTTAGCATATTTTATGGCAGGTGGGCGTGCCAAGAGTCTGTCACTAGAAACAGGGTGAAGCTATTAAACAATCAAAAAATGCTTCGCTCACACGTATAAATGGAAAGTTGTAATATTGAGACAGGATCATGTTGATGTTCCCTAGATATTTAAACAATCGCTGCTCCAGCCTCAAAAATGGCATGCAATTGTTTCAACAGGGCATGTCTTTTATCCCTAGTATCAAAACTGCGCAAAGCTACTCCCAAGGTTTAAAGGGTAACTGCAAAGAAAAAAGTGTTTTTTTAAACAGCCTAATTGGGACAAGCATGTCACAAAACAAATCTTCAGCGTTTTTTTATTTTATGCCACAGGACGTAATTTAGTCGGGGTCACAACTTCTCCACATTTAAAACTCCCGCTCTTTCGACGCGCGCATAGTGGCTGCTACACGTCACTCCGTGACGTATAGCAGCCACTCTGTGACGTATAATACCAACTTTGTGGCGCGCGATTTAAAACGGACGAAATAGCCACTAACTAAAATCAGTCTCTCGCGCAATAAATATTGCTGTAAAAAATTTTGCTGTTGGCGGAAAAATTGTTTTGTGACATGCTTGTCCCAATTAGGCTTTTTAAAAATACACTTTTTTTTCTTTGCATTTACCCTTTAATCTCCTTTATTGATTCACCATTATGTGTCTCAATAAGCATGCACAGCCAATTTCAAAGAAACCTGTTGGGTGAATACTGCTTTACAAAAGGAACTGGTGTGACAGCAAACAACCTCTTATTTATACATGAATACACTTTTTATCAGTCATACTCAGCTAAAACACAATTTTTACATTTTATCACACTCTAGGAGCAACATAGGGCGAGTTCGGAGCAATCCTAGCTACGAGCAGCGACTGATCTTTGTGCAGTGATGTGATTGCTGCGCCAATTGTGCCAAACTGATCCAAGTGGCTAACCCTGCTACATCCTGCTACATTTTGCCAAAATATGTTTAATCTGCTCCAAGCCTGCGCCAAAAGAACAATATTGGTCGCCTTTCAAAACCGAAACTAAAATGAGTACCGTAATTGAGCACGCAAGTCTTATGTGGCGCAAGCGACCGCCCTGGCTTAGAGTGCCTTCATACACGCGCGCGCTTTTGCTTGAGTGGTGACATCTCAGCCATTTTTCCGCCCAATCGTTTTTTTATGCATTTTGAAGTGCGCGCAATCTGGTGTCACTAAGCTCGAGCGCGTAGCTTTAACTAATGCATAGACGCCATTTTACCGCCTGAGTCACGCACCAAGTGCGCGAGAGCGTCACGCGCTGGAACATTCAGGGCAACAATGGATGTCTTCACCCTGAGACAGACAGACATGTAGGCACCCTACCCTGGCTCGCGATGTCTTTCATCGATGCACTCATGGTTCTTTTCTTCTTTTTTTTTTTAAGTGTGTGTGTCTGTGTGTGTGTGTGTTTAGCTTGTACTTTGCCTGCCTGACAAGCGCGCGCCACTGGACTGTTTTCTGTCGTATGCTCGACAATAACATTTTGCATACAATTTGGGAATCAGTGGGCGACGGAGCGGAGTGGCATGGTTTCGATCGAACAGCCGTTGTTTCCGCTCATGCGGCGAAGCACGCGCAACTGCAAGCCTGCAGAAGTTGCCCTCACGTGCATGCGAGCATGATTGCACGACAGAGGCACCAGCCGTGACGCTTGCAATTGACTGTTTTACGTTTGCTTACTTTTTACGAAAATCTGGCGCTCGGGAACCAGTAAAACGGTGGCAAGCGATTTTTCGGAATTACTCGGCAACTCCTACAGCACTGTACGCTTGTGGGATGTCTCAGCACTAAAAACACAACCAGCGAGTTCCGTCACAACATGTCACGTCAGAACACAACACAACACAAAGTGGCCTTCGTTTGTGCAGCACTTAAAACATTTTTTTTCTAAGAATATCTGTTCCGAAAACCACTTTTGCTGTTTTGAAGCACTGTCTTGGCTGCCCCAAAAGCCACTTTTACTGCTCCAGAACACTTTTTTGGTTGCTCCAAAAGCCACTTTTGCTGCTCCAAAACACTGTTTTGGCTGCTCCAGAAGGAGCTCCAAAATGGCTTAGGCCAATCACATCACTGTTTGTGTTCATCCTCTTTTTTGTCTACGACTCTCGTGACTGGTTCAGACCTTTTACATAAAACTGAAGTCTTTTAGAGACGTAAAACTTCACCAGTGCTGTAATCAACTGAGGAAGCTCGGCGTTCTATCGTTTTCTCGGGAGCCTTGGTTACGATGCTTTCTTTGATAGGTAGCTCGGACCTTTCGATGCAAGTTCTCTTTCCAAAACTTTTTTTTGTTCTTCCTCCTTGGGTACTGAGAACAGCGACGGCTGCTCACCATTCCACTGGTGATAGCCTGTCTGGCACCTCGGAGCGAAGCAGTGGCATTGTCAACGTCGATTCGGCATGACTCTTCATTGGCCATAAACGACAGCAGACACGGGTAACATGGGGTTAAGAGCGATTCAGAACGGGAGCCACTTAGCGCTGCCAAACCGCCAAACCAAATTTGCTCGCCGAGGGCCTTCGGAACCGGTCGAATCTGGTTGGATCCTCCAGCTGATACATCCGCAGCGCCGTTGCATACATCAAGGACCTTTCCACACTCGCTGCTTCACACAAATGCATGACACACATCGGCACCTGATCTCATTACCCCTCCTCTAGTTCACTTTAACTGAGGCAAACGGCTACCAAAGAAACGGCAGACAGGTGATGGAGGGCCGAGCGCCGTTTCTGATGTCCATGGGCCAACGCAGCTACGGAGAAGCGTCCAGGTTCTGATACTATGCATGATGCCCACCACTCTCGCGACCACCGCGGACTGGCTCTCATCGAAATCGGGTGAAGGAAGCGAAGGAGACCAGAAATATTCCCTTCAGGAGCTTGCGACGACTCGTAAGGAATATTTTACAAAGTTTTACTTTCATGTACATGGTATTCACTTGGGAACAAAGAATTTCTGACGTGTCGTGGCTGCGTGCGCTGGCCAGAGATGGGAGCAGACCCGTGCGTTTGCCTTTTTCAAAGCACGCTTGCTCCCTGTTGGTTAGGCCTATCTCAGAGCGGGACCCCTTTTTGGAAGGAGCATTTTGTCTTTCGTTTGCACTCCAGTTAACTGTTCTATGCCATGCATTCGGGCGGTAGAACCCCACATAAAACACCCTTTCCGAAGCATTTCTAAAAGCTGTATGCAGTCCTATTGGGCCGCTCATTGAAGCTGCAGCTCCGATTCGCTCTAACAGACCACGTGAGAGGAAAATAATACACAAAAAAAAAGAGGCTGCATCTTCATGTGGTGAATGATGTTGATTGGGGTGATGCTCTGGTGGTGCTGATGATACTGATTTTATTGTTCATAGGTAGTGCTGAAAGTGTTGATTTTTTTTTTATTGCTCATAGGTAGTGCTGAGTTCCAGGTTGCGTTTCGGCTTCATTATTACTGCTTTATGGTCGGTGAAATGCAGAGCGAGTGAGTCTTCTAACGGATCAGCTTGGATCCGCTAGAAGCCGTGGGAATGCATCTCCACCGCTTAAGTCAACAGTCCCTGTCAGAGCGAGAATGTGTGGTATGGATTGTGGTTATATAAGCAGTTCAGCATTTCACCGCAGCACCCTCTCGTCTATAAACATTGAGCCAATGCACGCAAAGTTTAACACGATTATATACGCATTTGACCGCAGCGCCCTCTCCTGTATAGGCGTTGAGCTGCTACATGCAACGTTGGAGTGTAGCGTAGTGGTTGTCTCGTAAGCAAGCGGTCCTGAGTTCGAACCTCCGTGTGGGCATAAGTGTTTTTTTTAAAGTGGGCCGATCCCGGAGGCAGTGCAATCGATGTGAGCACGGACACCGGACGGACAAGGCTAGACCCTAAGGAGCTTCGCCCCTAAAAAAGAAACACGGCGGGTGCGGAAGTTTGTGTTTTAGTTTTTAGCTAGCTCACGTGCGTTTTGTTATTCAACTTTCTCCGACTCTTGCTACAATGCCGGCGGCAAACGGTAGGAACTCGTTTACACTTGGTACTCGGAAGCGCAAGCTTGGAAAACCAAGAGGCATAGAAGGAGATGGATCTCAGAAAACGCTGTACCGCCGTCCCCGAACCTGTCGTCATCTCCCATTGCATCACCACCCAGAGATACGGACTACGCTGGACCATTCACGCTTGTGTCACTTCTTCTGATCACTGACATCCCTAGAGAGGACGAGTTGACGACAATTGAGCGAAAGATAATGATTCTGAGGCGAGAAGAGTGCCCCGGGGAGCCGCCACTGGATCCAGAAAGGCCGCCACTAGGCCGAGCTGACGTCGGCAACCTTGAAGGCTACTGTGGTGGGAGCCCTTGTGTGCCCAAATTTTGTACCGAATCCTCCCTGGAACTAAACGAAAGTGTAAAAGGTGCCCTTCTCCAGTTCATCGTTGTGCTCCCGGAGCGTTTTGGGTGGTATGGCAAGCACCATTTTAAGAGTAACATTGCTTGAGCTTTCAGATGCATTTTTCTCGGTCTGGCATTTTGAGTCTGTTTTCATTTTTAGAAGCCTATCATTTAATATTTTATCCACCCACACACCCGAAGTATTGTTTTTATGGGGTGAAATGTACTGGAAAATTTAGTTAGATACAGTAATCCTTCGTTATAATGAAATCGCTTTTATCGAAGTTCAGCGTGGTCCCAACCAAAATGCACGCATTCTGAACCGGATTATTCGAAGTGTATTAACGGCCGACCACGCTTATTGCGAAGGCCGAGGTGCCAAAAGCATGCAAGCCTACACGAAGGCACACGGGAGACCTTTGCGTTCCCTCCTTTTTCTCCACCGAAGTAAACGGCAAACTGGGAAAACTGGTGACGGAGGGCAGAGCGCCGCTTCCGATGCCGATGCGCCGACGCAGGCAGGCAGCAGCGGGAACAGCATCCACGTTCCAACGCTACTCACGGCACCTGCGGCCGACGCTGCCCAACTACTGTCGGAATCGGGTCAAGGGAGCGGTGGAGCCTGGGGGAGATCATCCCCTCGGGAGCCCCCACCCCCGCACGCGCCTGCACGGGCACGCTTGCTACGTACCATACATTATACGCACACGTGCGTCATATGGGAGTGGGAGCGTTTACCAAGAGTCGCTTAGATTGGCGAGGCAGAGAAAAGTGGTCGGCCCAAATCTGAAAGTGCCAAAGAATTCGACGTTTTGGCATCGACTTTTTGACACTGTCCACCGTTTTACGGAACAAGCAACAAGCAAGGCATACTGGATGGGTTCAAGAGAAAGCACGCCTGTGACCCGAAGATGAAAGATTGCCAACTGCTTTGCACACGTCGGATTTTGTCTCGCGAGCATGCCTACCGAACTGGCGCACGATTCCCAGAGCTGCAACGGTCTCTACAGCAGTGTGTGAAAACATGTCTGCATAGCCACTGAGGGTAACTCATTCGTTCCCGATTGTCGATGCGGACACTCCCGTTGTTGCTCCTGCCACAGATGCTGTAATCGTAAACCTTGCGTGCTGCCAGGGTAAACATGAAGTGACGTCGGAAAGTCACTTGGGGAAACTCCGACGACTGCAGAGATACAAAACATACTATGGCTTCTTCAAAACGAAGTGGAGTGCAGCGGCGGTGACAGGGCTTTTTCGATGCCTGGTGTAGTTCGAGGAGAACTGATGCCTGTATGAAACTCTCGGCAAATTCCACTTAATTGTCGGTGAAGCTTCCTTTTGTTTCCATAACTAAGGTTTCTTTGATTAAATATACAAAGTGTTCCTCAGTGTTCCCGTCCACATGATTTGCCTGCTATTTTGCTAACCACACCAACAAACATCACTTAAATAGTCCGCCAGATGTTGGGCCAAAATAAATATTTTTCGCAAGGATATTGAATTTACAATTTTGGTTCTCACCGTCTTTATCAGAGTGAAAGTCTCTACTGGCAACATTGAAAAAGTGGCATCAGTGGAAGGCAGGGGTTCACTCCTTGGTCTGTAGACTTAATTCCCAAGTGATTGCAAGCAGTTTCATGGTGTCAAATGAATGCTTTAGAAGCTTGCTCCAGCAGCACCCTCTCAGCAGCTTGAGACAACTGCTCAGCGTAGTAAAGTTTTTACACGTCCTGCTCGACTTGCAAGCCTGGCTTCCACCAACATCACGGCAGTGAAAAGCGCAGGTATATTGAATGTTGGTTTTGGCATCATTTTCGGTAGCCTATTTCGCAACACTAAGTAGCATACCAGAAAGCATAAAGGCCGGTGATTCCGAAAGTATAGGTAGTTGGAGTAGTGCAAAAAATCGCCGGAGTACCCTGGCCTAGTGGCAGTGGTTAGGCAGTGCTGCGAGCTCCTTGTGCGTCGCCGAGCGCTCAAAGATGCGGGACACGGGGGGCATGGCACAGCCTGAGGGGTGCGTGTCTCTGCGTGGTCCCAGGCAGCTGTGCATGCTGCTGAATGCAGAGGACATCTACCGGGCCATGGCGAGCATCCTGCAGGCCAAGGAGGACCTACGCTTTGCTGCTCACATGGTCCAGACCCTCAACACCATCCTGCTTACCTCCACCGAGCTCTTCGAACTGCGCAACCAGCTCAAGGATTTACGCACGCAGGTGGGCAGACAGCGTCGGGTCGCGAGGGGTCGTCTATTTCTTGACAGGGGGCCATTGTTCTTTTACCGATGGTGGCTTCTTGTGCAGGAGAGCTGCTCCCTGTTTTGCTGCCTGTACAGGACTTGGTGTCACAACCCCGTGGCAACCATCTCCCTTTGCCTGCTGACACAGAACTACGAGCACGCCTGCCGTATGCTCCACCTCTTGTATCCTTTTTGCTGTCAATTGCTGTTTCAAGGGCGACTATGTGAGACTGCAACAGATTTGCTATGTTTCTTTGATGCTTTTCAAAGTTCAGTCCTAGCCCCTTTCATAACTATCATGACCTGTGCACACAGTGCCTCTGCTATTGTAACCTCAACTTTTTTTGTGAACATTAAACAAAAACATGTCTGGTTGGTTTGAAAAATAATTAAGGAAAGATGCGGCTCAGAGAAGCTTTTTTAAATTTTTGCTTTAGGATAATGTAACGTCAGCTGATCATAAAGATTAGTCTTTTTTTTTTTCAAAACAATAATTAGTTTTAATGTTGCTTCTATAGTTTTGTGTTCAGAAGCAGAAACAATTGCATAGAAGAGGTTTTTTGCGTACACACTTAGGCACACTAAACTTACATACGAGCATGGTGCAATAGCTCATTTTGCCCCGTGTGAAGTGTAGAGTGCCAGTATCTAGCCAAAAACTATAACTTTATTTTTTAATTAAGCCTTCTTTTTAGAAGCCCATTAGAAATTCATTTAAAGTTTGCAAAAACATAATTAAGGTGGTCCATTCCATATAAAGATTAGCACTCAAGATAATACATTAAAAAAATTTATGATGATTGGAAGATTTGTAACACCAAAAGCTCGGTGCTCAAACTGTGAAGACAACCCAAAGTTGCAAAACGAGAAAAATGCATTTGAAGGCTCAAAAGATGTACCCATACTCTTAAGGGGGGATACGGCCCCGAAATTCCATTTTTTTCCGAAAAAATGCATTTTCAAAAAATATTATATCTGGGTTCACTATGTTCTGAAGCATAGTTTCAGAAAGTTTTATTTATAAATGCGCAGTATTTATTTCGCAAAAAATTATTTTCGGCAAGCTCGCGGCCGCGCGCGGCGACCCGCCGAGCGAGCAGACGGCGAAGTTCGTCATTTTCAAATTAGGCCTACTCCGCGCTCGTTCGACGCATCCGAGATATCTCACCCTCGTTGGAAGCGCCGTTTCTTCTAGTTTCTGCCCATAGAAGCTTGCTACGTTTGAGGCTATCTGTGTCCCGGGAGAACCCCAAACATACAAGCAGAAAAAACGTGGGAACTATGATATCAGCAATCCCATTGGTTGTGACCCGAAACAGGGCTCACGATTGGCCGCCTGCGCGCGCTATCGGCAGCTTCTTTCGCTTCTGATCGTATCGCTAGTTCGCCGCTGTTTAGATTTGTTTTCCCTTTTTGTTCCCGGTAGTTTTTCTGCCGAGAAATGCCTGCTTCCAAAGTTAGCACTCGCAGTAGCTTTGGCCGGCGTTTTCAACGGCGAAAACAAAGGGCCGGCGGAGACGGCGACCCGTCTCCGCCGGCACCATCGTCGCCGTCTCCGCCGCCGTCGTCACGATCTCCAAGCTCAACTGGTGCTTGACGGACATCGGAGCCTACAGCTTCATCTCCGAATCGGATGTGCTGACCACGTTCGAGAGTAAGCTCAGCCTGCTCGATTTCGACGCGGGGATTACGGACGACCCGGAGCTGACAGACGCTCCCGTTGAAAAGCCCCTGAACGGCTCCTCAATGTGTCCGCCATGCATACTCTTGTTGCGATTTTACTCTGCCTCAAGTGCCACGGAAAACTACTGAGCTTGCAAGAAGAAATTGGCATCAACCTTCAGTTTGTTGTTAGCTGCTCGACTTGCGGAGACATCGTCGGGACACTGCACTCACCATCAATCGGCAAGTTTCGAGAGAATGAACTCGCGGTACGTCTAGGCGTCGTTGGAAAAGACTGGCATCGGTTTTACAAAGCTCACGAATCTCTTCGGGGGCCTCAACGCACTGCCCTCTTCATGCTCATGTAGTTGAAGGTGCCACCAATGACTCGAGTAAATTTCAAGTTTCTGGCATCGTCCGAAAAAAAAAAAAAAAAAAAGTTGAAACTTCAAACGCAATTTTCTCAGTTTCACTTTTTGGCAGGAATTCTTGTTTTAGGAAAGCTATCGTTTGACATTCTGAATGCAGAGGGACATCATTCAAGGTTTTCTGGGACTGAAATTTTCTGGGGAACAAGATAGACTACTTCACAGTTCAAAAAATCTACTCCTTCATGAAAAAAAAAATATTTTTTTGAAACAAAAATTTTACATTTTCTTTTTAAATTTTGGGATGTTCTTATTTTTGTTATAATTGAATATTTTGCAATTTAATTTTTATCTAGGTTGCACTGTGGGTATTGTTCTTCACATTAAAGCAAAAAGTTTGCCACCAGCTAATTTTATTTTTCTACGATAGACTTCCTAATGAAGTGTCTTTTTTCTGAAGTGCGAGAACCGTAGCATACTGTAAAGTTGACCAATAATGCTGAAACTTTGCAGATTATCCTTCCTCATAGTGCTGAAATAACCCTCAAAATTTGAACCAAATTGGGTGAAGGGTTCAAAAGTTTACCCTCCCAGGCCATATCCCCCCTTAAATTGATGGCTGCAATTACACAAAATATGGCCAGGTCATAGTTAGGATGTCCAGCAAACATCCAGAGTCAATAAACATGTCCCACACTGTATGCTGCAACTTTTCTGGCCCCTCTTGCACCATGTGCCATCAGACATGCTACATTAGCTGTTTGTTACACGTAGGCATTTCGGTTTTCACAAGGCTCTGGTTGGCAGTTTTTGCGACAACGGCATGAACATTCTTGCTAGTGAAGGTCTTGTGGTACATTGGTGCTAGCAGGTCGAGGATTGCACAAAAACACAGAAGTTGACGGCTTTCAAGCTCTGGAATGGAGAATAATCAACCCTACTCACTTGGTGCTTATCTTTAGGTAAATACAGCACACAGAAATATGGAGGTGGAGAGAACACGGGACGAGTGCTGAACTAACAACTGAACTTTTATAACCGTGTTCTTATCTTCGTCTTTCTGTGTGCGGTACTTACCTTAAAGGGTGCCTCCAATTAACATCTTTGAATTTGGGATTATGACTGTGTTTAGCTAAAACAAGCTAAATCCCCCCCACCGCTCTCGCGGTGGGCGGGCCACGAGAGCAGGAGATGCGAGGGTGTCTCGGCGAGCCACCGCCCGGGTGCCGCTGCCCCTAGTGACGCCACTGGCGTCATTTGCTACCACTCTATGGTAAAGTCTATTCCCGTTGTATAGGTAAGTTTCCGTACATGCACCCCTTCGGGTGAGGTGTCACATCAAAAGGTTTATTGCTTGGCTTGACTCACAGTCGGGGGCTTCGGTTGAGGGCTTCAGGGACTCCGAAGAGTCCACAGACCCCCATTTGAAAACCCCTGGTCTACACCATCGAAACTTAAACAAAGCAAAAAGTAACTTGCCAACAAAAAAATAATTTCTGTCTGCATTGATGTAGAGCAGGGGTTCTCAAACTGGGTTCCATAACTTCTATGGACTGAGCCATGGACTGAGTTGGTGTTACGTACAAAGCAACCTCACCCTTTGCACTCATCTGTATAGTATATATTTTACATTGTGCCCCAGATTAACCTTTCTGCCTCCCTATTCTGTCTATAGCCCTCTATTTAGTCTTATTTTGTCAGTGTGATTAACTCTTTTTGACACTCTAAACACTTTTATTGCCCAGCATTATCAGTTGGCAAAAAGGTAGGGGGGGGGGGGGTTCTTGGGACTTTTTGAGGCTTGCTGGGGCTCCCTGGGACGAAAAAGTTTCAGAAACCCCGATCTAGAGGGTTGACTGTTCCCTATTCTGCAGAAGCAATATTTTCATTGCTACCTTTAGTATAGCAACAGTTGGACTGCTCTTTCCACAGGGGTGGAAGCGCTGCGCCAATTGCGCCACCCTGCGCCAATTCACTTCCCTGCGCCAGCCTGCTCCAAAACGCCAATTTCAACTTTTTTTTTTTTTAGTGTTTTTTTTTAATTTAGTGGAAAACGGTTGGCTACGGGCCACCATGTGGTGTGTACTTTTGCTTAGGTGTCACTGCGGGTGACTCGTACCAACTCGACTGGGGCTCCGAACCATGTGTAATCTCAGGGCAAGGCGTCGATTTTAGTTCATCGAGAGTGCGATGTCGTTTTTTTACTACAAAGAGCTTGGTATACGAACACATCGGTTTGGTTTCGGGCATAGTTGGTTGGCGCGGTTGGAGCGTGCATGCAGTTGCCCGTGGTCCCGATTTGCCGTGATCGTGGGAGTTGGTGCCTCGGCACTGGTGGGCTACCTTGGCCATTAACATGAGCAGAAGTAAGTGGTCTTTACTAGCTTTACCTGTTATTTGGTAGCCTACCATATTTGGACGCTTAGCCGTGAAGAATCGCGAGCACAGGCACATCCGTTCTCGAGCTCAATTTATCTTGTCAAAACGAAACCAAAACCATCATTGTGTGCGCGAATGTGCACGCTGTCGTGTATTGTCTCCCGCCGTCAGACCACTAGCGAAAACAATACCCGCGATCTTAGGCGAGTTGGTTAATTGGCAGTGCTACACAGGTTTTTGTTTCTTTCCTTTAGCGTGGAGGAGTGGGGGTGACATCAGAAATGCCGTACAACACTCCCGCGCTGCCGATTCCTGTCGTGAGCGCACCTTAACTTGCTATAGCCACTCTACTCGTACAAGTTTCGGGTATAGGTGTATCTGGTTGGGGGGGGGGGGGTTGGGGTTGGGGGTTGGGTTGGGGTTGGGTAGGGTAGAGAGAAGTTGGTGGGCTTTTTGTCACGTAAGAAGGCAGCCTGCCCCGCAGGGATCAGCGCCTGATCAGCTACATCTCATTTTCAGTCTTGTTCAAACTGTCTTCTCTTAAAGCGCTTCTACTGAGTGCAGAAGAACTCATAAGCAAGGGTGAGGCAGTTAAGGACATGGACAAGGTGGGGAGTGGACACCTCCTGCTAAGTGATGTGAACTCTAAACTGCCCAAAGTACTCGAGCGCATAAAAGAAATTGACTCTGCTCTTCAAACTGTGAAAGAAAAGGTGAACTTCAGTTGTTTCTAAATTACACAGATTCAGCTTAGTCACAACCCTTTTTTTTTTTAACATGGAGCCTGTGGGCTCTTCTAGTCAGTGTTTATGCTGCATATGTATTAGTGGCTGTGATATTTTTAAGACAATATATTTTCCATCTAAAGTAATATAGATATAGCTTTGTATGTTAACTTAAGTGTAGGGATTACTGTATTTTGTGAACACGGATTAAGAACATTTGTATTTAATGAAAACAAGTCAGCAAGGACTGCTTTATTCTGAAACATGTTGTGGTACCTTAATGTTTTTTATGGAGACACGCAATGCACAGCATTTTATGGAGTACATAAGGTTGCGTTGCTCTTCTAGTCGATGCTTAAAGCTGCATATGTACGAGTGACTGTGGTATTCTAAAAATATAAAATACACATTTTATTTTGCATCTGAATTTTTGTCAAATGTTAGTAGCCTTGTATTTTGTTACTAAACTTGATATAGGGCTTTTTAAGCACTGATTGAACATGTGTATTCTTTATTAAACAAAAACTGTAGTCAGCGAAGGTAGTTTATCTGACACCTTGCAGTGGTTTAGTTTTCTGGATACATGTTTACAATTGGTCTATTAAGTAGACGGTTTTGTACTGGCGTGGCTCAAGTTAGGCTTTTATTGTCGGGGCCTCCCATATAAAGTCTATCATGACTCTGCCTGCTGCCGGAATGGTTTTCAAAGCCTTTCCTTTGCATAAATTGCCAATATTCCATATTTCAATGCAATAGAAATAGAAAGGTGTGTATGTATGTTGCTTGAAAATTATTCTGGGATGTGCATGCATATATTTTTGCTACATTTTCACATTTAGAAACAACAAATCACTTTTAAACACCTGTTTGACCTCCGTGACCTGCTCCAAAACCCGCTTCTACGGCTACAAAACTTATTTTTGCTGCTCCCGAGCTGCTCTAAAGCGAGCCTTTTACTGCTCCAAAACTGCTCCAAAGTGGAACTTTTGCTGCTCCCAGCCCTGATACAAAAGGCTCTAGCCCGCTTCCACCCCTGTTTCCATTGTTAAATGGCACTGATTTTTGAGAATGTCCTATGCTTTCCAGTGTTTTTATTTCCTTAGCTCGTATCAATGCACAGCAGCGACATTGAAGTGACTGTGGACTTCCTGACGGAGATAGACAAGCTCGTCCAGCTCATTGAGTCGCCAATCTTTACTTGTGAGTGATCCAGACCTGCCCGTCTTTTTCAGTGTAAACCTTGGGGATGAAACATGTCTGTGTACTTGATGCAATGACCGCCAGAGGCTGAAGTTGCTAAATGTTTACTGAGTGGAATTTAGAAGGGAGCTGAAGCACTTTCGAAAAACAACCGAGTTAGAAACGACCGTCTATAAACAAACTCATGTTTACAGACAAACTGGAGCGCCCCTAGCAGACGCCACTGACGCCATGCTTGTGCGATGGGGGTGTGGGCGAGAAGCTCGCCGTCACCCGTAAACGAACCATTAGAATGGGATGTTGTTGGCGTCAGTGTGAGTCCTCACAATCTTTTTCGCATTGGAATTGTTGATTCTACATCTTCCTGGCAAAGTCTGACTACTTGAGTGGCCTCAGCAAAAGTAATGAGGCTCGTTACACCGCAACACTTGGCGTGAATAATGTAACATGCAGCGATTCATTCCACGTATACGCTGCAGAATGGATGCTAAAGCCTCATTCTCATTGTCAGTACCGTATTTACTCGATTCTAGGCCGACCCCCCGAAACGGCAAAGACGAAAAAAAAAAAAAAAAAGATCCTCTATTCTAGGTTGATCAGAAATGAACGGGAAAACACCGTAAACTAAACACAGAATGGCATTTATTTCCAATATACAATACTAAATCGGCCACGATACCGACGATGGTGTTAGCGGTTTATGTTCGCGTTTTCAAATAGAGACGCGAGCACCGCCGCGAGTCGCCGTGAGCAATAAACTAGTGATGGACTGAATCTGCCAAACTTCAGATTCGGCAAAGTTTGGCAAAGAATCGGCAAAAGTTCGGCAAATGTCTGCGCACGTGCGAGAACGCGACGGAGCCATGGATTGCAAATGGACGCCGTGCAGTTGTTAGGTTACCATCGTGCAGTGTAGTACAACCAGCGATTACGGCGCGGTTCGGTGTAGGCAACACGGTGCCTCAAAACCGAAACTCTCGTGGCGGGATTCGTGACTTCGCCACACTCGCTACCCAACCTCGTTGTCACGCCACTTCTGAAAGGAGTCACTAAAATTACCAGTAAACACAAAAATGACACCGATGCAATTATCTTGTAGAATATGACCTTATTTAGTAATAACTGTGCCAATATGCATTACATGTTGCATTTAAAGGGGGACTCTACCCAGAAAAAAGAATTTCTGCAAAAAACATTGATTTTGAATTATTACATATTTACATTCACCAACGTCTCGAGAGTATTCCCAGAACTTTTCACTGGTTTACACTGCGTAGTTATTTTTTTATAAATTATTTTCTGTCCACCGAAGCTAAAGAGAAGTTAGGGTTTGGAGCACTTTTAACGCATTTTTCTCCGTTCCAATTTTTGGTATAGATTCCATATTAGTCAACCTATTGTTTGATAATGGCGATACAGGGAAGGCTCGTTGTTCACTTTTCTTGACTGAGATTTAATAAGGAATGCGGCTATGGAGATTTTTTGTCACTTTAAGGATGCCTTTTATAAAAAATTTTGACATTTTGTCGAAGACAGAAGACCAAAACGTTGACCAATTTTGCAGAAGAGAAAATTCATAGAAATAAATAACTTTTTACAAAAAGCTTTCCATAGCCGCACCTCCTAGGCATTCTGCTACATATCTAGCAAATAAAAATCTTGAATATTGTGATAGTTTTCTGACGATAGATTAACTAAACAATGTAGGTATGTTGCTGATAAAAGCTGCCCTAATTTCCTTCCCACTTAACCGACAGACATGACATTTTGTTATGCACCCTCTAGCATGACCACCAGCCTACCCTGTAAATTTCATTAATTTTAAGCCAAGGGTTCAACAGTTGACCCTCCTAGGGGGTGTACGTGTCCCCTTAAGTGAAGAAAAAAGAAACTTAAAACCTTTTTTCGAAAGAAAAATGAAATATCAATGTTAAGTATGGTAACAGTGTATTTTTGTTGAATCTTTGCCGAATCTTTAGAAAAGTTTGGCAAAAGTTCGGCTTTGCTGAAATTTGGCACCAAACTTTCGATTCGGCAAAAGTTTGGCCCATCACTACAACAAACAAAAGTAAACTTTTTTTTTTTGTCTGTGTGTGCGCATTTGCGAAGGAGAGAAGGGAGAGGGCAAGGAGCGAGGTGCATGGCTGGCATGGCGCATGGCGTCTTTCTTCCTCCCTTTCCCCCTTCGCGTAGCGAGGGGCATTTGGGAGCTGCACGGCAGGGGAGGCGCGAAACCCGACGTCCGAGGTATGCGCGGGAGCGACGGCCACGGCGGGGGGGGAGGTGGGAGGGGGAAGGGGGGGGGGGCCCGTTGGCTGCTGCTGTTTTGGTTGTTTTCGTGCACCAAAAGTTTTCTGAAACATGAAGCGGCGTGACTCTATGGCCACGAATAGATATGGCAGTTTCGGTTTCGGTAGCTGGCATTCCCGCGAAGTGGTGTAGGTGTGAACCGCATCCTCGTTTCTAGGCTGACACCCGAGTTACGATTTTAATCTTTTTATAAAAGCTATCGGCCTAGATTCGAGTAAATACGGTAGGTTCTGCTCGCTATTTTCAGTGATGAGGTTGCTCGGGCTGCAAAAGCCTGAACCGTAACTGAGATGTCGACGTCGATACTGAAAATCGCAAGCAGAATTGGATTGAGTGAATCAGGCATAACAAGTCAGTGATGGCCACTGGTAACAATTATCAACATCTCCTTATATCTACTGTGTACACCGAGCCTACTTACCCGAAGCAACCTTCAAACTTAAATGTCTTTTGAGGTCTGCACTTCTTATTGCATTTATCGGGTCAACGTCCGGTCTACGGGCCACTGTCGTTTGAATAAGCAGACGACAAGCAGAAACGTTTGAGAGAGCAGAGGACAGCTCGAACGATGAGGCGGCCGTTTGAACATGATGAAGCACTGAACGTAGTCCACGGGTGGTCCGTGCAGCTTGACGGTTTTCCCGCTTTCGTGTTGGAACAAAACAAATAAATCTGACGGTCACAAGTGTCCGTGAATTCAATTCAAAGTGCCTTCTAGCTCAAGCAATCGTGGGCCGATTGCGTCTGTTTTTCCTTTTAACGGCCCCTGTTCACGTTCTCGGACGAACCGAGCAGGCAGAAAACGTATGAAAACTTTTTACTGTCGCGTTGTTGTCATTTGCCTTGTTGAGGTACTGAGAGCTCGTCAAGCCACGTAAGAGTGACTTTTTTCCTTAGTGCCGCATCGCTCATGATGGAAAATAAACAATTTTTTAGTGCAAAATCGAAAGAAAACTGTGCATTATTTTTCATGTGTCTACATTGAAACTTGCACGGTATATTTGAAGAAGAGAAACCTTTTCAGCTTTTCTTTAAGTTTGCAAGCATTAAGGTGTAGGCTGGGGTGAATTGCTGATTCAACAGCAGAAAAGGACAAGGACACGGTGGGGAGATGGACAAAGGAAGAAACTAAGGGCACCGAGTTACTACTGTGGCATATTTGTCTTCTACTGCTTCATTGGAAATAAGTAGAACAAACATTTTTCCACTAAGCCTCTGTGCTTGTGTACAATCCTGGTAGTACTTCCCACAGTCCTCATTTTTGGAGGGAACCAACATCGTTGGCACCTATCCGTGTGTGTATCGTCCTTTTCTACGATTTTTGTTTGAGCATTGGTAGTGTGGGGCATAAAAAGCAATAAAATTTGATACAATGGTACCAAATACGATATAGCTTCGCCAATACTGGAAACTCCTCCGAAAACACATAGGAGCGGCGGCGAACGTGACAGTGGCGCCTCTAGCGGACTCGGAGTCTACGGAAGCAGTCGTCGCAATGGAAAAGTATAGGCTCCGCGACGTCCTCGAGCTTTACAAGCCCCGTATCGTCACCCTAACAGCAGAAACAATTTATTACGGTCAGTTCGCTTGCAAAGCGGAATCCGCTGATCGCAACTGCAACGACAATCGAATAACAACGCGCGCATAAACAAAGATAGAGCAGTTTATTTAGCGGTCTCAAACACCTCTCAGGGGATCACACGCGTTTGAAACGCATCTGGGAAGCGGAAAAAAGGCGTTTAGCTACTCGAACTACGTCGTAATCGTTAAAACATGCAAAAACGACATGTTAATATTACCAGAGCAGGCGCACGAGCTGCTGGAGCATAAAAACAAAACAAAAAGTAAGGATAAAAATGACCGTGCAAACACTTACCGAACTTTGCAGAAAAAATGGTGTCGCCATTCCCGACGAAAATAAGAAGAAACGGGAAAGAGAAGCGAACAACGGCAAATAAAACAAAGAAGCTAGCAAAAAACTATTTCAACGACGACGATCGTTGCGGCGCTTATAGAAAAAAAGAAAGCAAAATGGAAAGCAGCAAATGAATAGCTGGTGGTCGCCCCCAGTGTTGAGTTCACGACAAACAAAGCGGAAGCAACAGACGAAACTAATGAAAAATGAAGAAAGCGTCCCTTTCTTTTCAGCTGCTTGTACATTTCTTTATTTGCTTTCGCGGCATAGGTACGAACTAAAAACAAAACAGGGGAAATAAATAACGTAGTGCAGCTCACACTGCCCGGTAAAAAAGAGTCGCAGAAATGTTTTGGTTGCAGGCAGCAATCTTCTATATGTGCTAGCAGTGAGTAACCTTGTTTTGCTTTCGAATTTCTTTTTCTAGTGACTTTGGCGGGTTGCTCGTTCGCTCGCTTGACGAAGCAGTTTAAAAGTGCATTCAAGTACTTGTTGACGTAGGTGTCTGTAGGTTGACGTAGGAAGCAGAAGGAAGATTTTCCACCACATCGCACAAACTTGTTCTTGCAATGGTAGGCACCACATCGCACAAACTTGTTCTTGAATGCGGCCGGTTGATCAACAAACGATGACCCGTAGCAGACGTGCCGGCCGGAGTACACAAATAAAATTCGAATAAAAATGTATAACGAGCTTACACTTCTTAATATATTTAATAAATATCAAAAAGCACGTATGACGATTTTGGATTAGAAACTCAATCGAAGGCGAAAATAGGAGGTTATCGCAGACGACAGTGGAAGAAAACAACAACAACAGCAAAGTTGCAGACGGCCCTCAAAATGGCCGTGCCTAGCGCAGACGGACCGGGGGTAGTAAGTGCCGAAGCGAAGGAAAGGGAGTAAAAACTAAGCGAAACAAAGCAAGGATAAGCGACTGTTTCCACGTCGGGCAAAAAAAAAAGAAAAAAACAAAAAGCAAACAAAAAATATACACAGCAACATATAAGCCGGAGGAAGAAATAACGCGGCAGAGTGGCGTCGCCTCAAGAATATAAAAGAAAGAAGACTCAAAAATGGAAAGAGTGGAGACGGTTCAACGGGTGTCGGACTTTATCGTAGAAGTAAAGAAGCAGCGAAGCAGAAGATGTTGGTCGTCCCCGCGCTAACAATCGGAATTTGTGCACTGTAAATAATGTGACTGAAATCATGTTTTTTCGCGGGGCTACGACGCTCTCCCCTTCTTTCTTTGCAAGCGCGAGAAGTCTGCTTTTTTCGTAACTCCGCTTTTGTTAATCTATAATCGCGTCAGATTTGCATATGCACAATGCCTTCTTTCGGAACATACTGACATCGCCGTAACGTACGTGGTTCGAAATTGACTTCTGCTTCTTCATCCGGAGACGATCTTAACGGGATTAGCCAGCTCGCCTGTTCGACGAAACGGTTATAAGCAAGACACTCATGAGAAATGGGAATTGCAACGACAAAACGAATTGACTGATAAGAACAATGAAGTTGAAACGAAGCTATGTTCTGAAATGTTCGTACATTTCCTTTTTTGACGAAACAGCGCGAAGGCATACATCTGTGTTTTGCTTGGCTTACATAAGTTGTGACAGAATGTATTCTTCGGGAGAACTTTGAAATTGCACCCAGAAAGCTGTAACATCTTTCCCACGCGAAGAGAATGTCCTTCACTCATGAGCTGGCACCCATTTTTTAACTTTCAAAGCAGCGAATGTCCGTGACAATTTTTTTTCGTTGGTCACCTCGCACGGAGATAGGCAAAACCAATGCATTTTAGAGAATTTGTCTGCCAGCGGAGACTCCGAGCTCGCCAGGGGCGCTGCAATCACTTTTCGCCCGTTTTCCGCGGGAGTTGCCAGTATTGGCTTCCACGGTATTTGATGGTACTCTGTCGATGTGTTCTGATGGGTGAGGCACGATCTGCTGCCCTTCATTTTCCCCAGACGGTGCTTATTATACTCAAGAAAGGTCAGTTGACGTGGTACTATTCTGCCCATTTCTTGTGAAGGAGTAGGGGATGAATATACAGAGAGTTGGGTCGGTGCCCTCTTTTTGTCTTTTGTTTGTCTACCTCTTGTTTCCTCATTCTTTCAATCTTTTGCAGTGGTGCATCCTAAGAAGAGTATTGAATTATCAATTGATGTATTTCCTTCAACTTGAAAGGTCCTTTAACCCTCTGACAGTCGTCGCCATACTTGTACAGCTCTGATTACAGATTTGGAAGTGCCCTCCTAAACGCAAAGCTGCGCGCATCGCGGGAGGTGTTGGTATTTATTTTGTCTTTGGCGAGCTATAGACGTCATATTGACGCCGTGTTGGGCTTTGCCGGGCTATTTGTAGTTTTCACTTTGGGCTCACTTGGCACACCGGCCACTCCGCCAAAGGGCCAATAGGAGCACACCGCATGTTTAGAACATTCCTGGTTTTCATCGGGTGCAGACCTGCGGCTGCAGCTGCTGGACACGCCGCGCAACTCGTTCCTGGTGAAGTCCCTGTACGGGCTGCTCATGCTGCTGCCCCAGAGCGAGGCCTTCCACACCCTGCGCACCCGGCTCGCCTGCGTGCCCCACGCGCAGCTCTTTCCCACCCAGGAACAGCAGACGTAAGCGGAGTGCCGTGCCGCTTCTCGTTGGATTTCCCAGTGCCGTGATGATGGGACACAACAGTCTCAAAATGAACTTTCTCTGCAAAAGCAGTTTTAAAGCACAACTCTTAGGAGCCCGTTTCCGGGTTGAGTGGCCTCGCCATCGGCGTAACCACGCGTTGCATTATGGGACGTTTCCCATAACGACAGCCCCATGTGACACCGCGTGTGACATCACGCGATTGAATGCGATGTCACATGAAATTTAGTGGAAAAATTTTCCCGCTAAATTTAGCGGGGAAATGTTTGCTAAATTTCCTGCTAAATGGGAGGGGAGCAGGAGAGGATGAGGGGAGGGTGCGGAGGGGGAGGAGGAGCATACCCTCCCCTCCTCTTCCTCAAGAGCTGCGCTCTAATTCGGCATTACAGAGAATTGTAAACGTCATTCGTTTTTTAGCAGAATATTTATGTTTTGACAGTCAATGAACCGATTCCGGTGAATGTGGCTACATGCTATTGTGAGTTTGCATTGCTTGCACCCATTGTCAGATTGTCTTTGATGGCCCATATGGTTTGCCAAGACCCACTTTAAACTGAACCTTTTGTAGCATAGTGTGTGGTATGTCCAGAACAACAAAGAGAGAGTTGTTTCATTTTTAGGCATTTGGTGGTAGTACAGCCCTTATGCCTTGTGTGTTTATTCTAGGTACATAAGTAAAGGTCTTCATATACACCAACTCATGTTTACAAACAAACCGGAGTGCCCCTAGCGGACGCCACCGGCGCCGCGCATGCGCGATGGGGGTGTGGGCAAGAAGCTCGCCGTCGCCCATAAACAAACCATTGAAATGCAATGTTGTCGGCGTCGGTGTGAGTCCCCGCGCTCTTTTTCGCGTTGGAATTGTTGATTCTACGTCCTCCTAACGATGTGTGACTACTTGAGCGGCGTCAGCGAAATTAACGAGGCTTCGTTACACCGCAAAACTTCGCGTGAATAACCTGACATGCGGCGATTCATTCCGTGTGGACGCCGCAGTATGTACGCTAAAGCCTGATTCACATGATGAGATTTCGCTCACAATTTTCAATAGCGACGTCGCTGGGACTGCACAAGCGTGAACCGTAGCTGAGATGGTCGACGTCAACTCTGAAAATCTCAAGCAGAATCTAACCAAGTGAATCAGGCATAACAAGTCGGTGATGGCCACTGGTAACAATGATCAACATATCCTTGTATTTATTGTTTACGTCGAGCCTGCTTACCAACCTTCAAACTTAAGTCTTTTGGGGCCTGCACTTACTTCTTATCGCAAGTACCGGGTCCATGTTTGGTCTACAGGCCGGTGTCCTCTAAAAGAGCAGACGACAAGCAGAAATGTTTGAAAGAGCAGACGACAGTTCGAAGGATCAGGCGACCGTTTGAACTTGAAGACGCACTGAATGTAGTCCGCAGGTGGTCCATACAACTTGACGGTTTGCCGGCGTTCATTTTGTAACAAAACAAATAAATCTGATGGCCAGAAATATCCGTGAATTCAACCCAAAATGCTTCCCGCCCAAGCCATCGTGGTCTGACGGCGTCTGGTTTTCCCTTTTCACGGCACATGTCTGCGTTCTCGGACGGACCGACCGCATGAAAACTGACCTTCAAACCTCTCTCGACCCTTTTGGTACAGCCTCAGCCGCAGCATTTTGACAAGAAGGCAGGTTTTTGTCTGGTTCCTTTCAAAACAACGCAGGAATACACGTCTCACATGGGCACTTCCGTCCACACCCACAAACCGGAAGTGCGTCCGACGCGCCACCACCGCGCCGTGACGTAGCAGAGATGAGTTCGTGTATAGTCGGTGGGTGTAAGATGTACCTAGTAATGTGATGCAAAATCTACTTATCAAGTCTGAAATGTACAAAATACAGACTCAATGTCTATATTCTGTTGATCGTGTGACATCATCAGCGTAATGGCGGTCACATGCATAATCAGCATGTCACGTGACACAACAATGGAAAGTGACATCACACGACACTGATTCATCACTAATCTGGTCACGTAACATGGCTATAACACTTATAGTTGTCAAGTGGTTACTTAATTGTGGCATTGGTCATCACATGTAACATAATTTTATTAAGGGATCATGTGACATCACAGCAGCTGTAACGACATTCAAGCTGCTTCGCTGGCACAAGGATAGAGCATCAAACTACGTAGCAAGAGGTCAGGGGTTCGATTCCCAACGAGGGGGAAGTGTTTTTCGCTTCGAAGACTCCTCGCGGGCACCGCGGAAACTCGTGTAATCATGTTTCGTAACAACTTTCCGTTGCTCCCTAGACTGAAACCAGCTCATAAGATGGCCTCTTGTCTTTCACTCGCCCAGCAAAATATTACTCGGCAGGTGCTCACGAGTGTTTTTCCATCTTGCTTCCATGTCCTCAAGGTCCACCACCCCCGAGGCCCCACAGAGCGACTTGTGCAAGTCGAAGATTGACTTCCAGGAGCTTTTGGACCACTTCGAGCAAGTCCAAGAGTGCCACAAGAAGTCCAAGCCTGCCACCAGGCTGAGTGAGAGGACTGACCACCCCGGTGGCACAAGCTAGTCCGCCTAGTCGACCAGCAAGTTTCTTCTTGGCACATCTCCCAGACGCGTCCAATGTTTTCATGCCCTTTTTATGGCAAAGAGGTGTAGAAAAGTTGTTGCCGTAGTATGTTTTTAAAATTTTTATACTCGACGAATGTTGCGGGGAGTGGGTCTTAATTTTAGCTCCATTTCCAGCTATTCCATTTAATGGGGAGCTGTTTGGGGAGGGCGCGACGTCCTTTTCGAAGTTGGCGTCGGAAGACTTACACGAGGCATGAGGGAAGCATATTATATTGATCGATGGAGTTGTTTTTTTATTTGTTTTTTAGATCGGAACATGAAAATTAGGTTCCATCTTTTTACGGGAAAATGGGGAGAAATGAATTTTCTGCCAATTTTTCATTTTATCCTATGAACTGATGGGGCCCGAAAACCTTACTTGCAAGGCTCATTGACAGAACAAATTTTTACAAAATATCATACGAGGTATTTGAGTTTAATTCGTACAAATCTGTTTTTTAAAATATCCACGAAAGGTAGAATGATGCGGTCTGTGAGGGTTAGTTATACGGTCGTGACAAGTGGAAAACGCAAATCAAAAGATTACCATTTGCATTTTCAAAACGATGGCGTTGCATCTGTTGCACGAGGGAAGGCTTTAAGTCGCCCCCGCACTTACCACATGCTTGAAATCTTTCTAAAATTGATTGATTTAGTGGTTTTAGATGACGCTCAGCAAGTTTATAATCGGAACCATGTGCTTATTTTAACTAATTGAAAAATTAATTAACTCTTTGCTGACAAATGTTGCCTACAGGCAACAAACCACATACTGTTGAGACTGGTTATAACAAAATCAGTTACGGTATAACAAAATAGCGGCTACAGCAAAGCGATCTTGATTTCCCATTCCCTATTGCACGTCGTTATAACCGAAGTCGGTTATAATGAAATAGCGGATACAATGTAGACCGCATATAACGTATGTCACGGGAGTCGCAAAACTCCACACTATAAGCGGTTCCGCGCTATAACCAAAACATAAATTTTTCAGGCCAAAATACATGCCATGAGACAACTTACCTTTGTAAAACAATTTATTTTATGTTAGATGAAAAATAAACCTTAGTCTGAGGAAAGTCCTTATTTCACCAGACTAGTACACTTCTCTCTAAAGTGTGTTACACATTTTGAAAGAAATGAGTGACTTTGGCCTGGCGCAGCCTTTTAACGGCGTTGCGGACGACCTGGTCTTCGACAACGCTAAGGCATTTGAACACCTCGTCACTGAAGGAGTTCAGGCTGGTTCAGACATCTGCAACGAGTTAGTTATCTATGACTGCGTCCATTGCAACCGGAGCGACTGGAACGACCGCTCTGCGCTGCGCGTACACACACCTGCAATCACTGCAACAAGTGCAGCGGGTCGTCAGCACAGCGACTGCCACTACGCCGCTGTCAGCTGTTTCAGCGTTGCCTCTAAAAAGGGGACGCACTGCCACTCAATGCCGTAACAGAACATAGACAGACAGTTTTCTATAGCCTAAAGCTTTATTATTATTATTATTTTTTTCATGATAGATGGTACAGTGGATGAAAAAAACAAAAGAAAAAGATGCAGTACGTCGTTTCGGAGGATCACGACTCTAATACACGACTTTGCCAATAGTACACATCTCGCTACACGCCTTTTCTATGATTATAAAAGACAATGTAATCATAGCAGCGATATAGCAACGTAAAAATATGATTTTGTGATCAGATAGACATTGCTAGCATTCAGGATGGTTAACACTAATCACTTTTCTCCGGTGATGAAAACACGTGAAAATTTGCATCCTTTATACGGTATGCGCCAGTAATACCTTGAACTTGAGCACGCGCATGAAATGCTCCAAATAAAAAATCCAGGCGATGCTCAAGGACACAAATGCTTACGAAGCACCACTGTAGTCAAAGTAAACAAACAAGACAACACGGGTGTTTCTGCCATCTTGAGAGTGCCGCCACGACATCGCCGCATGAGTAGGTGGATCTTCCCTTCTAGTATGTGCTGGGTTATCATAGCAACACACGACGAAAATTCACAGTCAAGGGTAGCGCTTTCATGCAGAACGATGAGCTTCCACCACGCCGTCCATGTTGGCGGTCACCACCGACGCTATGTTTGCAGATAGAAGAAGCCGGCCCGCGACCGGCATGCAGCGTGCGCAACCAGTTCTCCTCGACCTGTGATTGGTCTGTCGTTGCGGTTGTTTCGGTTGTTTCCAACGCAGCGGGGGAAAGTTGGGCTCACTCCAACTCCGTGCGTCCCTCCGTCGCTATGGCAACTGACGGTTGCAGACCCTTGCAACAGTCGTTTCGGTTGTTCCAGTCGCTGCGGTCGCCACGGTCTTTACTTCTCCTCGCTTCCTCGAGCAACGTCCTTGCCATCTTTGCCCCTGCGAGTGGCGAGTGCCGCTTGCGGCTAGCGCCGTTATCTAGTGATCTAGTGCCGCACAGGGAAGCGTGCTTGCTGCGCCGGTCGGCTGGCGGGGTCGGCGGGTTGTTCCAGAAACCGCACTATAACCTGTATTTCCCTTCGCGATTTCCCTTCGCGCGCCTGCATTTTAAGCGGTATGTAATTACATGGAGTTGTATGGGAGGTGAACCAGTGGTTGAAAAAAAGCCGCGTTATACCCGGTCCTGCACTATAAGCGGTTACATTGTAAGTGGTCTTCAGTAAAACTTGTTTAGAATGAACCGACATACAGCGAATTTTTGTAGATGTCGAACTCACGGAAAATTTAAATAAAAATGCATGTAAAACATACTTTTTATAACGAACAACATATTTATTTATCAAACTTTTTTCCCCCGGGAAGGCTTCCAAAAGCGTGCAAACAATCGTCTTCTAGCCTGTCCCCTTCCCCTTAAAAAAATCTAGGAAAGAAAGAAAATTGCAAAACCTCAAGATGTGAACAAAATTGACAAAGAGAAGCGATTCAGAAGGGGAGAAAGCTAAAAAAAAAACACTGCACGCATGCACAGAAAAAAAAAAGTCTTCCTCCCAGTGTGGTTGCCTACGAAGAGAAGTGATTCAAAAAGGATGATTGGCTAAAGAAAAAAAAAAACACTCTGCACACCATGCCAAAAAGAAAAAAAAACTTTCCGGCGTTTTGTTACAAGGTGGAAGCGAAGAGATGAGAGAGAAAGAGAAGCTGCTGCCTTACAATGAACGAATCGTGGAAGTTCGTTGTAAATGTTTTTTACTATATCGAACTGATCGTAGCGTTTCCTGCTGTTCGTTATAAATGGGTTTGACTGTCTACTGTATAACGAATTGATTTCCGATTCCTGTTGACTTCGTTATAACCGGTCTCAACAGTAATAATTTTGTTTATTTAACAGTTTCGGTTTTATCATGTTGTCTTGAAGATTGAAACAACAGCGCCATCTAGTGAAAAATACGCAAATAGCTGACGAGAAAAAGAAATTGGGCGCACAAGTACACGGCAATTGAGAACGGCGGAATGCCAAAAAATATGGGCAAGTGTTTTCTTTTTGCAACTAATATATTACGATAGGGAACCATTCTACTTGAGGCTATCATATGCACAAATATTAAGTTGTTATTGACATTTTATAGCGATCCATAGAGGTTACGCAAGGAAGCCACCTCTAGACTTTTGCCTGTTGTTGCCCACAGGCAACAAGGTCATAACTTGCAAGTTTATCTTACAGTTCTTGTTATATCAGCTCTGTTCTTTTATTTGACCTTGTTGAACATTAATATCTTAAAAAGTAAATGTTTTAAGAATTGTTTTTGCATATCTCGTCAGTAAAGGGTTAACATATGTTAGTTAAAGGGCAACTCCGGCCAAAACTCTGAATGAAATAAATTACTGGTATCGCTGTAGTGATACAAAATACGACCCCAGCCAAAATATTGCATCCAGGGGACGCCGCATTCTCAACTAATGCCGATAAAAAATAATGCAACCCGCTGCGAGCTGCTGCTCTTTAGCGGGTGGCCAGCAGGTTGCCGATCGCTAAAGCAACATTGTTCCGTGACGTCAGTATCGTTCTCTTTTTTTTCCTCTGGTCTGGGCGTTGCGCGGAGTGCGCTTCTTTGAGCCGCTACCACCGCTACTTCGGCTTGTGATTGGCGTGATTAGCCGTTGCTTTCATCTGTAGCCCGTGTAGCTTTGGTATAGCCTTTTGTTTGTTCGCTTGTGAGGACTCCAAGACTCGTTTTAGCGAGCGACTCGGTGCGCCCAAGACTGCCGAACTGTTCCTCGAAAGATGCCGAGTACAACTTGTAGCGCTGTGGGCTGCTCAAACAACCCGCTGCGCAACCCGGAGGTGCTTTTTCACAAGTTTCCAACGGACCGGAACTTGGAGAAGGTGTGGGTGAACGCTGCTCGACGAGTGGACTTTAGACTTCGGCCTTTACACGCCCGAGGAAAAAAAAGAATGAAAAACGGACGTATACAGTCCAGCACACGTCTTTTCGGGCGCTGTGGCCCACGCCGGAGAGCCTAAAAGCTTTGTGTCTGCGACTGACCCGCAGCGCGAAAGTGAGAGGGCCCCCAGTACTCTACGTCACTGGCAGCGCGACGTAGAGCAACGCCGCTCCATCCACGGAGCCCCGATGACAATTTAGGCCTAGCGATGAGTACGGAAGACGGTACGCACGGCAACAGCCGCCAAGTACGGCACTGAACGAGTTCAATCGTTTTCCAGTCGCTAGCTTTTGGGTATTCAAGCGACGAGTAGGGCCTAGCGCACGCACGGTGGCGGCCGCCGAGTATGGCACCGAACGAGTTCACGGGTTTTCCAGTCAGTAGCTTTTGGGTATACGCACTAACTTGCTACATATGCTGGACAACTACCACGTATACAGAATTAAAACAAAATCAGCTTACCTCCTATCTTTAGACGGCTGGCGCAACGGAGGTAGGTGCTGCTCGGCCTGCGTACTCGTTGAACGAGAACGATCTTGACGTCACGTTCACATGGCGGCTGATTTCCAGTGTTGCCGGGGCCTCGAGCTGCTAGTTTCGGTTTTGTTGGCCGCACCCCAAACAAAACTTTGAGGCGTCGGTATCTTTAAAACTAAGCACAATAACGAGAAAAAAATTTACACCTTGCAATTCAGGGACGTGGACTGCACTAATAACAGTCATAATCCCAAATTCGAAAGTATGGACCGGAGTTGCCCTTCAATTTTTCGACTTATTGTGACGATTAGCCACCTGTAATACGTCGTCCTGGCCACATAACTCCACCTGCACAGACCACATTATTCTGCCCTTTGACAGATTTTTAGTATAAATATGTTTGAATTAAAATTAAACACCCTGTATATACTATGTACCTTTTTTTTTTGGTATTTCAATTAAAATTATTTTTGGTGGGATATAACATTTTTAATAAAATATACAAAAAAAAAACTTTTTTTTTGTTTGGCGTTTAAAAGTATTTTTTTATGTGTCTTCTTTTCACTTATAGTGCTGCGCCCGAGCACCGCTATTAAGTTTGGGTAAATGCTCCACATCGGATGGGATTTAACCCGAATGGCTTGTTTACCACTACCGGGTAAAATTAAATTTTACGTGAAAGAGTTACATCCTCTCTCTAAGTGGTGGCACTAAACTACTGCACATTCACAGTTGCATAAAACGATGCTTTTGATTTTGTGATTGTCAGAACACCATTTCCTGTTTCCAATGAATGTGCTTCCTTAAAAAAGCTTTAAAAAAAAAACAGCTAAACAAAAATCTTTTTGTTTTTGTTTGAATTTTTAGATAGGATTGGTATGTTACAAAAAGCACTTCCCTCGAAAAAAGTTCTCTTGCAACATTTTTGTTTGTAGACATTAACTTAGTATTGCGACATGCTTATGTTTGGTGCTTTGTTCGGAACAATGTGCCGAAATTCCGGAATCGCTCCTTACTCGAAATGAGGCCTACAACGTAAATATTGCACTCAATGTTTTGGGGGGGAAGGGGGGGGGGGGGGGGTGTTAAATTTTGTTTTATGATCACATGTCCTACCACCAGGACATAACAAAAAACGTTTTCTGGGACTTCAGTGTCCCTTTGAAGTTGCCATTATTCTTGCAGATGGCGTCGCTTAAAAATAGGCTGACTTGATATGTACATGTAGGTTTTTCAACTTAACCACGAAATGGTTTCGGTGTCAAGGTGATTGCGTGTATCTGTTGTCCAGGACTGGTGCTCTTGCTCCCGGAAGCTGACAGGATGTTCTCTCTGTCTCTTCAGATCAACTGTTGCGGCTTAGCGGTGTCTCGGATTCCGTGCAGGCGGCTTGCTAGGCGGCTTCGTTCGATTCTCGGCATGCACCATCTTTGGCTACTTTAGTCGTGTACATACCTTTAATTTATACGTCTGATTAAAAATTCATTGCTCATATTACGGTGTTGTTGCCAGTGTCTGAATGCCGATTATTCTGCAAAGTAGGTCAGTCTCACTTCGACAGATGATCACTAGGGTCACCGAAAGTGGTGCTTGATTACCCACTTACGCATAGGGTTCTTCGATTTCGGGTTTCTATTTTCATTTTCATGGTTGTGACATCATTTTCCGAACAGAGGAATTTTTTTTTCTAATTTGACGACACTGTATTAAAAAAAATTGTTTTATATTTTTTATAACTGTTTTAGACTGTGACTCTAAATGGAAAAGCAAAAACAAAAGAAAATCGAGGTTCAGCCTGATGGCTCCAACAGGAAAATGGGCAAAACCCATTGAAGACTTTGGCAGCTTTGAACCTCTAAACTAGGATGCACAAAAGAGGAAGGACAGCCCTAAGCAAGGACTCACAGAGGAAAATGGGGACACAACCCTTGGAACAAGATTAAACTTGGCAAACGTTAATATAGTCGTTGACAAAAATAAAAACCGAAAACGAAGAACCCTATTGATGCACGTCAGTGCCACCGTAAGTAATGCACGAGACCCTTTTTTGCGCTTGGTGAGTTTTTTTTTTTTTTTGGTGCAATCATTTTGGTAAGTTGCATAATCAATTCTTTTATTCTGCAAGTTATAATTTCTTATTAGGGTTTATAATGTTGCTAACAGTCTGGAGCCCACCATTCTCCTTTGACATTCCTGTGAGTTTTTGAAGAAGCTCTGGTTCAAACTTGGTCTGTAATGTTGCCAAAGGGTCACTGACAGGGTATTTATGCTCGCCAAGGTTTTTATTTATACATGACATATGAGAGCCAACTACCCAAAACACAATTTAAGGCTTGAAATTCGTTTCACGTGCCGTTCTCTTTGGTATAGATAAACGTGCCAAATATAATCAAATTTGTGGGTATTGAAGGCACATACTCCATAATAAAAATTTAAAAAAATATGATACCCATTTTTTGTGGCTTCTAAAAAAACAACAAAAGTGTTGATTAAAAAATTAAAAAACTGTAGTAGTACTAGAAGTAGTGGTAGTAGTAAACTTTATTTTGTCCGAGCTGGGGTTAGAGAGGAGGGGAGTGGGAGGGCCCGTCCTTTTCTTCCTAAGGCGGCGGCCAGACCTTGGGCTTTGGTGGCGTCTTCGGCCATCTGGAGGACCCGGAGTTGGAGATCCGGGTCTGAGCTAAGCAGTGCAATCTCCCACTGCTCAAGGGTGGTAATGGGAAGGGGAGATAATGAGCTGGTGCATTTTTGGGTACTTATCAGGGGGCTTGCCCACATGATGTGGTGAAGATCGGCCCTACCTGCACATAATTTACAATCTGCTGCATATAGGTAGTCCGGGATATAGGTGACTGTGCATTACTGGGTTTGGGAATGTGTGTGTTTGTAAAAGGCGCCAAGTAACTAATTGCTTTTTATCTAAGCTTTTGTGAGCGGCGGGGTAATGCCCCCTGCCCCGTCTGTAGTATTGTAGGATTTCCTTGTAGAACACCATTCTGTCCCTACCTGAACGACGAAGGGATTCGAGCTGCTCATTGTGAGAGGTTGTCGTGCCACCGTGGATGGCCAATCCTCGGGCCGCACTGTGATCAGCTTCGTTTCCCAGGAGATAGGAGTGTGCCGGTGCCCAAGCGAGTTATGTCCATCTGCGCCGGGTTTTGGGTACCTGGGCTAGAATTTTGAGGGCTTCGGGCGAAATGCGCCCTTTCACGAAGTTTTGTATGGCTGTCTGAGTTGCTGACTATGAATTCGGTTGAGGATGAGGCGTACACCAAGGTGATTACGACTTCCTCCTTGACCTCTGGCGACGTTGTAATGACTGAGCTTGCAGCGATGGTTTGATTTTGTTGATCAAGTACAGCCACTACCATGGCGTCTCGATCACGATACTCGGCCGCGTCTACGTAGGCCATGTCTTTAGAACTTGCAAAGTGCTTCTGTAAGCCTCTGGCTCTTTCCTTTCTGCGCTCTTGGTTGTGCAAAGGTTGGGTGTTCTTAAATAATGTTGGGATCTGTATGTGTTTTCTGAGCTCTATGGGAATGTCCCGCTTTAGTTCGAATTGGGTGTTGTATGTAATCCCGAGTAATTGGAGAATGTGTTGCCCCGTCGAGGACTGTGAGAGCCTTTCAAGTTCGGCATTTCTTTGGGCTTCTGTGAGCTCGTCAAGAGTACTGTGTATTCCTAGAGCCTCAAACTTTTCGTTTTGCGGTGGTAATTGGGAGGTGTAGAGCTTGCTTATAGGCTCTTTGTAACATTCATTTTGTAAGGTTCATCATTCTTTAGTTGCAGGAAAGGGGTAGCGGAGACTATTCTGCTTATGATGAAAGCCTGTACCAGTCTGAGTATATTAGTTTCTTTTATGCCATGGTGTCGGTTGGTGACGCGCGAAATGAATCTTGTCATTTGATGAACGTGCGAGTCTATGGACTGTATCACTTCATTGTTGTGTCCATTGGACTGTATTATGAGTCCAAGGATCCTGATGCTCAATACTATTGGAATGCCCTGTTCGTTACATCTGAGCGTGATTTGAGGGGGTATGGAGACAGTTTTTGTACTATTCTGCACATAGGTCTATACCATGGGTGGCCAAGCTGAGGCTCTTCGCGTGTTAAAGTGCGGCTCGCGGCTCCCTCCCCTACCCCCTCCTCCCTGCCGGTCATACGAGCACTTCCCCAAGAAGAGAAATGGAACGCGTTTTAAATCAAAAGGCA